AACTCACAGGGGTAGGTCTACCCCGTCCAACAGGGTCACTATGAAGATACCATTATCTCATGAATTGTTTTGGCCAGAAATCCAAGATCATCCTTGACATCTGTCTTCTCTTTGTTTCTAAATCCAGTCCACCACAAAAACTGGTTGGTTTGACTTTCTAAGGCTCTCTTGAATCCATCTGCTTTCCATCTGTATCGCCCGCTAGTAAGCTATCACCATTTTTTTTAGGAACTACAGTTTTCCTTATCTAAGCTATCACCATCTGTCATGGATGGAATTGTTGCAACAAAAGTATGTGTTGAAAATTCTAACTTTAATGAGTTGACTGCCTTGGGGAAGCCCCTGGACCAATATTGTAAGCTCCTTTGTCTAATGTAATGTATATGTCCTAATATTGACCCCCAAGTTCCCTTAGGGAGCCCCAAGGGCAACTACCCTGTTTCCCCCAAAATAAGACAGTATCTTACATTAATTTTTGCTCCCAAAGACGTGCTAGGTCTTATTTTCAGGGGCTGTCTTATTTTTCCATGAAGAAGAATACGGTACACATTTATTGTTGAACAACAAAAAAGGAAATTTATTACCTGTATACGGTACGGTAGTAGTTGTCATCACAAACCAGCATAACCAGACAAACTGTGAATCCTACAGTATCAAGAAGGCCTAATTGTGAATCAGCCAGACTCTTGTCAGGGCAGAGCGAGCAACAGGTGGCAGCTTGTCCTGGCAGCAGTGTGGGCTCTCTGACTAAAAGAAACCTCGCACTTCCTGTCTGCTCCAGCTGCCCTGCGGCCAACAGTGAGCTGCATGGTGGCACCTGCCACTAGAGCCGAGTCCAGAATTACGGTAGCTTTGGGGGGCTTTATTATCGGGGAGGGCTTATTTTCAGGGGGATGCCTTATATTTCAGCGAGAGACAAAACTGTAAGTAGGTCTTATTTTGGGGGTATGTCTTACTTTCGGGGAAACACGGTAGAATGTATTGATCTGCTGCCACCCATATTTTTGTGACAGTTTTCTTGACCTACCATATCCTCCTTAAAGGTCTGTATCTCAGCAAGCTGTTGGACCCCATTATGACCCCATGCTAATGGTCTCCCTCATTTGGATAATATGTTTCAGTAGTCATCTTGGTCCTGCTTAAGACTTAATAAATACTCTCTTAAGAAAACAACAACAAAAAAACCTCAAGCACACCAGCTTGTGTGATCCAAAGATTGTAAATAATAAATCCAACTCCAATCGAGGGAATGGTATCACAGCTTAAATTGTAAACAGCTGGTCTGCAGAAGGCTAGGGAAGACAATAGAAGCCCGAATCCATTTTCAGGGTCCCCACAAGGATGAAGCCTCCGGTGAGTTCCTGCTGACCACAGACCAGGGATGTGACTAGTCTTCCTATCATGCGGGATGCATTGGAAAATGGATTATTCCAGACACAGCTCGGTTAAGATCTAATACCTTATCATTTGATCTCCTTTTTGATCCATTTTAAATTTGTTCTGCCTCTGTGATCATGAGGTGTTGATTTGATCAAGTATCAGGCATCAGAAGGCCCCAAACAAACAACCACTTCCACAGGAACGAGGAGGCTCGGAATGGAGACCCACAGTCCATCTGTAGACAGCTAGACGTCCCCTCACAGAAGAGTCACAAGGAAGGGATGAGTCAGCCAGGGTGCAATATAGCACTGACAAAACACACAACACTCTTCTAGTTCTTTAATGCTTCCTCTTCCCCACTATTATGACCCCAGGTCTGCCTTTCAGATACCGCTAAACCAGAGCATGTACACCGGTACAGATAAGAGCTCTCAACACACAGAATTCAGGACAGATAAACCCCTCAGGACCAATAATGATACCATGAGGGTAGAGGAGATGTTGGGGAGAAGGGGAAGAAAGGGGTATCATGCACAATGACTGATGTACAACTCCCCCCATCTCCCCCAGAGGCATGAACAACAGAAACATGGGGGAAGGGAGACAGCAGAAGGTGTAAAATATCAAAATAAAAATAATTTATAAATTATCAAGTGTTCATCAGGGTAGGAGGGTGGGGGAGGGAGGGGGAAAAAAAGGAGCTGATACCAAGGGCTCAAATAGAAAGAAAATGTTTTGGAAATGATGATGGCAACCTATGTACAAATGTGCTTGATACAATTGATGTATGAATCATTATAAGAGCTGTAAGAGCCCTTAATAAAACGATTTATTAAAAAGAATAAAAATTAATAAAGTATGGAAAAGCAAACATTAAAAAATGGATGTATGGATCATTATAAGAGCTGTAAGAGCCCCTAATAAAATGATTTATTAAAAATAATAGTAAAATAATAAAGTACGGAAAAGAAAAAAGTAAAAAAAAATCTGTTCTAGCTTTTAATAAATTCTGTTTTCTTTTTGATCGAAGTTTTTATCTGTTTTACTTGATTATTGTTGCTGGCTTTAACATAAAATATTTTCTGTATCTGAAGTCTAGGCTAGGTAAATCTACAGAGGCAGTAAGTGGATCACTGGTCCCTCGGGGGTATGGCAGAGGAGCTTGGGAGAAATGGGGAGCTAATAATGATGAGCACAAGTCCAAAGGAAACGTCCTAAAACTGACTGTGGTGGTGACTGTACAGCTCTTCCGGATCGGATTGAATCACTGTGTTGCATGAGATGGGAATGGTATGCCAATAAAACGGTCAGGCAAAAGACAAAAACAAAAGAAAAAACCATCCTAACTCCTATAGCTGTGCATACAATCCCGCTTGGGACAGGGCTGCTTTGTCAAGCTGGAGAGATCCTGTCGGTGCTGGGTGTGGTACAGGTTTAAGCTGCTCGCAGGAGACTAAGAGCTAAACACAGCAGATTATGCAGAGAAGCGAACACAAACGAGGCAAAGACACCTGAAGATCACCCAGGAACCAAGAGAGAAGCTCAAAAGAGTCAAGGACCTTGAGAGAGAGAGAGAGAGAGAGAGAGAGAGAGAGAGAGAGAGAGACCTTCTCCTAGAGCAGTGGTTCTCAACCTTCCTAATGCTGCAATCCTTGTGGTGACCCCCCCAACCCTAAAATTACTTTCGTTGCTACTGCATCACTGTCATTGTGCTACTGTCATGAATTGTGATGTAATATCCGATAGGCAGGATGTATTAGGTGACCCCTGTGAAAGGGTTATTCGACCCCCCCAAAGGTTGAGAACCGCTGTCCTAGAATCTCACTCGAACTCACTGCGCCAGGTCAATTCCTACTCATCAACCAAGTAGGATGGGGGCCAACTGTCAAGTGCCTCTGTGGGTTTCTGAGACTGTAACTCTTTTTGGGAGAGCAAGTTCATTTGGTGACAGCTGGTGGCAAGCCTTGTCCATGAGAGACACGGTGGGGGAGGTACTGTGACCCTGAGGAGGCCTTCCGGGACACATTCAGTCTCACGGGGGGCAGGGGGCAAAAGGCACAGGCTCTGGGGGGCACGGGAAGGGCTGCCCTCAGCCACCCAGCACCATCTGGACAAGGGCTTCCTGTTGGATACCACCATGGCTGTCCTCGGGACCTGCCACCTGCACCCTCACCTCTTCCCCTGCCACCTTCTCGCCCGAGGTGACACCGAGGTGACACGCACATGCTGATTTCAGCCCCCACGACGTGCTGTTCCCTTCCTTGTCAACCGCTTGAAGGACTTCCCAGGAGTGCTGTGGACGCCCTAGGCCAGTCTGCAGCATGGGCAGGAAGGGCTCCACATCCAGCACCTTCACGTTGACCTCATCACTCTTGGCGTTCCCCCAGGGCATTGGTGGGGTTCTGGCTTAGGGCCCTCAGCATGTCCCCACACTTGCTGGAAGGCCTCCTTCAACTCTGTGGTCTGGGGTTGGTGAAGTCACACCTCTTGACTGCTCAGGCTTCGGCACCTTGTCCTGCAGTAATGGCCAAGACTGTGACTCTTTAGGGGAGTAGAAAGCCTCATCTTTCTCTCGTGGAGCGGCTGGTGGTTTTGAACCGCTGACCTTGTGGTGACAGTGCGAGGAGTAACCCATTATGCCACCAGCGCTCCTTCTCCGAAAGCCAGTACCCTCAATTTGAACTTCTAGCTTCCTAAACTGTGGGAGAATACATTTCTGTTCAGTTTTGCAATCCATTTGTAGTATTTCCACAGTCACAGCACAAACACTAATGAGCCCTGGTGGCATTGTGTTGCTAACCACAAGGTGGGTGGTTCAACCCCCCAAGCAGCTGTGAGACAGAAGACGAAGCTTCCTGCTCCTAGAAAGGGTTACCATCTCAGAAGTTCTCGATAAGGTTCCTGTGAGCGGAAGAGACTTGATGGCAACATACAAGACACCACAGAGTAACAACTGCAATTTCCCCGCCAACTGGTTTTACAACTTCTCCCTTGGCCCTCTGCCAAAGCACTTCACAAATTGTAGCTAGTCTCTGCTTTGAAAATGTAATCAGACTTTACTAGTGTTTTGCTTAAAGTTCGAATACTTTAGAGGAAACAAACAGACAAACCAACCAGGCAAGCAAGCCACCAAATCCTCATCTGGCCTCTAAAGCCCTGCCTGGCCCGTCTCCCGTTGACCTCTTTAGCCTCACCTTGGCCCTGTGCTCTCTACCCTCCAACCACATTAGCTTCCTTCTAAATCATTGAACACCCATTTAATTGGGTCCATTTCCTCCCGTCACAGGACCTTTGTACAGGCCGTTTCCCTCTGTCTGCATCTTTCTTCCCTCTTTAGCCATCAGATCTCCTTCAAATCATTCCCTCAAGGATCGTCCCCACGGAGTGCTTGTCGGGGCCTGTGAGACTCGTCAACGTGGCTCCGTGAGTCATGCCAGCCTCTCAATGGCTCCGAGAAGAGACTCCTGGCCGGCAGTGTTTACCACAGGGGCCCTGGCACCTGGCAGGCCTGGCAGAGAGAGACTCGGTGATTGTTTGCTGACTTTGATGAACCTTCCCTTCCAGCCTCACTTCGGAGGTCTGCTCATCCCTGCTTCCACCCAGAACCTGGCCGCACTCACCGCAGGGTCTCCAGGTGGCAGCGAGGCTGTCGCAGGGCCTCACAAAGGCTCTGCACTGCTGAGGGGCTCAGGGGGGTTCCACTTAGGTCCAGCTCCTGCAGACTCCTGGTGACCCCCAGCATGCAGAAGAGATCCTGCCAGCAGGCCTCCGTGACCGGCAGCCACCTGAACCTGAGAGGGGAGCAGAAGAGTTATGGCCTGTGTGTGTGTGTGTGTGTGTGGTGGTCTGCAGTACACACACCTCTCTCAACACGATGGGGCTCTGTGACTGGCCCACTTCCTTGCCTGCCTCCCTTCCCCCCACCTGCCGGGCAGCTCTCCCTCGTTTTTTTTTGGGCCTCTTCACTGCACCACAGATCCGAGCCATGCCAAAGGGTTCATGTTGTCTGCCTGGAGGTTCCTCCGAGGCAGGAACATAGCGTCTTCTTGATTTTCTTCCCTAAGTTCTACTGAGTTTGTGCTTCCTGTCGCGAACACGCTGGGCGGAACCTACAGCAATTCAAGCGTTGTCACACAGACTGCTTTCTGGGGACGCTGACGGTGTTCTTTGAGTCGTGCCCGCATCCCCATCCTCCCTCCCTGAGGGCTCTCCTCCCCCGTGAGCGAGCGGAAACTCACTGCCCCTAGAGGTCCCCAACTCGCCCTTGGAGCTGCTGCTGTCACTGGGATTCCGGATCGATGGTTTTAAATGGGTATCATTTAAAAAAATTATTATTATTAATTTTTTTTTGTTAAACTGAACTACTATCTGTTTTAAGAAGTCTTCAGGTACTATTTTTGGTTGAAGATGATCTCAGGGCAATTGTTTCAGGGATTCATCCAGACTCCTTGGTCCCAGGAAGTCTGGAGTTCGTGAGAATTTCAAATTCTGTCCTGCAGTTTCCCCCTTTTGTTTGGGATTCTTCTAGAGCAGTGGTTCTCAACCTTCCCAATGCCACAACCCTTTCGTACAGTTCCTCATGTTGGGGTGACCCCCGCAGCCATAAAATTATTTTCGTTGCTACTTCATAACTGTAATTTTGCCACTGTTATGAATCAGGCGACCCCTGTGAAAAGATCATTTGACCCCCACAGGGGTCACAACCCACAGGTTGAGAACCACTGTTCTAGAGGGTCCTCAATCAAAACGTTCATTAATGGTAGCCGGACACCATCCAGTTCTCCTGGTCTCACAGCCAAGGAGAGAATGGTCCATGGAGGCCACTAGCCACTTGTCCCACGTCATCCTCCCATTCTCGACTCTCCTTCCTCTGTTGCCCCAGGTAAATACCTCTGTGCCTTGGGTGGCCATTTGCAGGCTTTGCAGAGCCCAGGCCCTACACAGGAGCACTCAGCATGACCCGAGGCCCGTCAACTGGGGAGTCCCATGACACCGTGACCCCCGACCTCCCAACGAAGGAACCAAACCCCATGAGGCGTTTGGTTTCCGCAGCAAATCCAGTAAACAGACCGCTCACACGACTTTTGCCAAATCATCTTTGTATAGGTGTACGAATCATGGACAAGGTTCTTGTTCTTTCTAACCGTGTGTTTAGTTTGAGATCTGTGGCCCAAAGGAAACACTCTGTGGTTTGGCCAGTCTCCCTCCCTTTGATGCAGACAACATCTGTCTTCCTTTGGCACAACCCTTCCAGAGTCCCAGCACTCAGAAAGCAAAGGAGTTGTTGTTGAGGGGTGGGGGTGGGGGGTGGGGGGCGGAGACTGAAACATAGGCATTGTGGCCTGTAGAGAGTCTTCATATTCTGGATACCCCAGCATTCTTGCTCTGAAGCAGAACGTGCAGCTCAACCATCTCATCAGAGATCGTAGCTCTTTTAAATGCCCCTTCCCCTTCTATGTAGGGAAGACTCAGCTGTCTGTTTCCTTGACCTTGGACCTAGCAGCCCTGGTGAGTTGAAGGACTTCCAGTATATTAACTGGTCCACAGCAGTGAGTTGAACTGAGCCCTCTGTACTGCTGTGTGGACTAATTAGCTGTGATATTCCTTCGTTATAGTTTATATTATATTATATATATTATAATCATGTTATGTTTTATATATACAATCATAAGCATCCTGGTTTTGTTTCTCTAGAGAGCCCTGTCTAATACAGGAGGTATCTAGGCACATAAAAACACTCCACGGTCAATGTTGCAACAGGGGTGGAGGCCCTTGGATGGGGAAGTTGGTCACTTTGCTGGGTGGAGGATGGCTGGAGACGGCTCCTCCTTGGTTGCCCGTGTGGCTTCAGGCCACACGCCTGTGTCCGTGGTGGCATCACTGATACACACAAGGGAGTCAGTTTCCCCAGAAAAATCAAAGACTCTCTTCCAGACACATGTGATGGGGGGAGATCTCAGGGTCAACACCATTCCCAACACCAAGGGGAATGGAGGAACGTTTCTTGAGCAGAAATGACGTCAAGGTCAAAGGGATGATCTCGTCATCTCCCTGTTACTGTACCACACTCTGGTTTCCCACTCACGTATAGAAGCCGCACGCTCACAAATGCTCCCTGACGGATTGTCACAGAATGCTTACCACGTGTGACCCCTGACACGTGACCCTGGAGCGGTTCCACCGGCTGGACTCCCGCCGCGTGGCTGCTGTGACCAGTCAGTGACAATGTATGTTATCACATCTGGAGAGGCTTTGGGGCTTCTTCGTCTGTCAGCTGGCTGTTTAGGTGAAGTTGTCTGTGAATGTTTTAAAATGTGTCCACAACAGCCTATGTGCAAATGTGCTTGACACACTGGATGAATGCATGGAGTTTGATAAGAGATGTAAGATCCCCCAATAAAAGTATTTAATAAAAAAATTGTGCCCACAAGTGCTCTGATACCCCTCCCTTCATTTCCTCTCTCTTCAGTGGGAGATGGGCTTTACTACGTTCAGAAAGTGCTTTCCTCCTCCTCCTTCTTCTTTTTAATATAATGGAATTTCCCCCTAACGTTTTTATTTCTTTATTTTATCATTTTATTGGGGAAAGGCGCGCTTCTTAATTCTTGGTTTGCAAAGAGCTTTTGATCATCCATAGTTTCTGCTCTGTGGAGCTCTAGTGACATGGCGGTTACATGTCGGGCTGCTGACCTCAAGGCCAGTGGTTCAAACCCACCAGTCACCCTGAAGGAGAAAGATGAGACTTCCCACTCCCATAAAGGGTTGCCGTCTCAGAAACCCACAGGCACAGTTCGACCCTGTCCTATAGAGCCTCTGTGAGTCAGCAAGGACTTGATGTTGAGAATTTGAGCTTTTGAGAGGTTCTGATGTGATGATTTTCCTGCATTGGAATAATCTCATGATTTTATTTCCACTGGCTGTTAATGCTATGAAATGGATAGATCAAGGGTAAGAGAGACAGGTGGCTGTCCTGGGGGAGTGTGGAGGAAAGCTAGGTCAGTGTGAAGGTGGACGTGCACCTGGTAGGAAAGACAAAACAGACACACGGCAGGGGCCACAGCAAAGACCAGTCACACAGTCCGGTGCTGCAGAAACATTTAGACCAGCGGTTCTCAACCTGTGGGTCATGACCCCTTAGGGCAGTGGTTCTCAACCTTTCTAAGGCCGAGACCCTTTCATACAGTTCCTCATGTTGTGGTGACCCCCCCACCATAAAAGTATTTTCGTTGCTACTTCATCACTGTCATTTTGCTACTGTTATGAATCGTAATGCAAATATCTGGTAGGCAGGATGTATTTTCATTGTTACAAATGGAACATCATTAAAGCATAGTGACTGATCACAAAACAATATGTAATACTATATCGTGAAACATTTATTTCTAATGACAAATGAATGACATTTTGTCTTGAAGCATGGTGTGGCATAGGTAACAGTCTTCACCCTGGGCGTATCTGCATGTGGGCGGACCTGCCTGCACAGAGGAGCGGTGTCTTGGTTCCTAAGACCATTGGAAATATGTGTTTTCCAATGGTCTTAGGCGACTCCCGTGAAAGGGTTGTTTGACCCTCAGCGGGGTCGTGACCCCCAGGTTGAGAACCCCTGCTTTAGGGGGTCAAACGACCCTTTCATGGGGGTCACCGGGTTCATAACAGTAGAAGTAGCAACGAAAATAATGTCATGGTTGGGGGAAGTCACCACCACGTGAGAAACTGTACGAAAGGGCGGTGACATTAGGAAGGTGGAGAACCCCTGCCTCAGACAGAGAACGGAGCCCTGGCACAGCAGGTGGAAGTCACTGACTACCTTGAGACTCGCGTCTCTGGCACAGGGGGCTGCAAGAGCACGCCTGTGGTGCTCAGGA